TTTCTTATGGGTGCGTGGGGTGGGGAGAGCATAGTAGATAGGTGTCCCTGGTGTCTTCTCTTAAAAGGACTCTAATTTTACAGGATCAGGACTGACTTTTATGACTTCCTTCAAGGGCCCGTCTCCAAATCCCATCAGTTGGGGTACAGGGCTGTGACCTACGAATTTGTCCACAATTGTCCACAGGAATCCATGTCCACAATCGGCATGTAAGTCAATGGTCCTCTTGAAATTCTGATAATGTAGATGCATGCCTTGCCTTTAAAAAGTGCACTTTTCTCACACAGACAATCCACGGTACAAAATTCAATTGGCATATAACTGCGTGGTGAGAAGTTAGCATCCTCTCTACCTGTCCTGGAACACACTGTTCTCTGGAGGCAACAGCTCCTGTGTACTCTTCGAGAAATGTCTGTCTCTCTACCTATCTATCTATTTTGTATCTGTATTTCATATTGGTTTTATATTTAGATATTTACATGCATAAATTTACACATAAACATAGAAACACTAAACATATAGAGAATATGAACACATAGAAATATGTGGATCGTGCATGTACACATGTACACACATGTGCATACACACATGACATATTCATCAGACAGTGTATAATTTCTTTTCACATAAAAGGGCACTCACATGTTGGGTGCCTGGCCAAGCAGTTAATATGCTGGTGTCCCAGATGAGAGTGCCTGGGTTTGAGTGCCGACTCCAGCTTCCTGCTGCTGTGCACCCGGGGAGGCACCGTGTGGACGGCTGAAGTAACGGGGCTCCTGACACCCAGGCGGGAGACCCGGGTGGAGTTGCTGCCTCCTGGCTTTGGTGTGCACCAGGTATTTGGGAAGACAACCCACACGTGGTGGGAGCTCCGTCTGTCTCTGTCTCTTAAAAGAAAACAAAAGAGGCAGTCGCTCTGAGCTGTCTAATGCCTTGCTCTCTTCAGGTTTGAGCCAATATCTGCAGCGATTACCTGTTATCTCACTTAATCTGCAGGACCTAGATCCGGCTCTCATTCTCGTGGTAGCTGCCCAAACAGCAGGTCCGAATCCCCAGAACCTGTAAATGCTACCTTATTTGGAAAAAGGCTGTTTTTGGATATGATGAGAGGGAGGCCCTTGAGATGTGGTAAGAGTATCTTGGGTCATCCAGCTGGACTGAAATGTTGTCATATAGACATATCACCATAAACGGAGGTCCAGGGAGACCCCCTACACACAGCGCGGAAGGCCACGTGACCAGAGGCAGAGACAGGAGTGATGTAGCCGCTAGCCTGGGAGTGCCGGTAGCCGCAGGGAGCTGGGCGCCGCAGGGGAGTGTGGCCCTGCAGCATTCTGATTTCAGCCTGGACTTCCGGCCCCAGAGCCACGAGGGAAGTTGTTCTGGTTTCCCAGGTTTTGGTGGCTTCATCTTTTCATCCCCAACAGAGCACAATTCCCCTCCTCCAGAGAGGCCAGCTGCTTAGAGAGCTTCTTCAGCTCGCTCGCCGTTCGACAGCCGGCACAGAATGGGGGCAGCCGCGTGGCCGTGCCGAGCAGCTCCACGCCCCAGGGCCGCAGGATCCCGCTCCCGCTGTGCAGCCCGCAGCTCCGCAGGGCCACTTTTCTCCATGTGGTGGACCGCTGAGCCTGGGAAAGTCGATCTTGCGGTTTTGAAGCACGAATCCCGAAACAAGCCTCTCGGTGGCAACCAAGGTGGGGAACGGAGCAACTTCAGAAGCACCTGTGCGTCTCCCACAGCTCAGTCCAGGGTTCTAATGATACTTCCACTCTTGCGGTACTGGCCGGAAGTGGCCACGCCACCCTGCCTCTCCGCAAGGGGGCTGTGAAATATAGGAGAACGTGTGGAATGTTTGATGAGAGACACTGCCTTTGTGGGGGCAATTGTGGAGGGCTGGCATTTATTAAAAACTATAACTGATTGGGCTGGCGCCGCGGCTCACTAGGCTAATCCTCCGCCTGCGGCGCTGGTACCCCAGGTTCTAGTCCCAATTGGGGCTCCGGTTCTGTCCCGGTTGCCCCTCTTCCAGTCCAGCTCTCTGCTGTGGCCCGGGAAGGGAGTGGAGGATGGCCCAAGTGCTAGGGCCCTGCACCTTGGGCCCTACTTCCTGGGAGACCAGGAGGAAGCACCTGGCTCCTGGCTTCGGATCAGTGTAGCACGCCGGCCATGGTGGCCATTTGGGGGGTGAGCCAATGGAAGGAAGACCTTTCTCTCTGTCTCTCTCTCTCACTATCTAACTCTGCCTGTCAAAAACAAACAAACAAAAAACCAAAAACCAAAAACCAAACAGAACTATAACTGATTGGGGCCGGCACTGTTGCATAGTAGGCTAAGCCTCCACCTGTGGCTCCTGCATCCCATATGGATGCTGGTTTGTGTCCTGCCTGCTCCTCTTCTGATCCAGCTCTCTGCCATGGCCCAAGAAAGCAGTGGAAGATGGCCCTGCACCCACATGAGAGACCCAGAAGAAGCTCCTGGCTCCTGGCTTCGGATTGGCACTGTTCTGTGCTTTGCAGCCATTTGGGGAGTGAACCAGCAGATGGGAAGACCTCTCTCTCTCTCCCTCCCTCCCTCTCTGTCTATAACTCTATCTCTAAATAAATCTTTAAAATATTATAACCAACATCCATTGACCACTTCCTCTGAGCAAGATACTACACTAATACTTTATTCCACTTCCTCTGAGTGAGATATGATACTAAGTACTTTATAGCATATTATCTCAAAGAAGTACTGTTACTATCCCCAGCATGAAGATGAGGGAAATAGAGCCTAGAGCACTTCAGGGATGGGGCCAAGGTCCTGCTTCGGGTGAGAGGCAGAGCTGGGATTTGAACCTAGGCGCTCTGGCTTGGAACTTCCATCCTTCACCACAGTGCCATCCTGGCTGGAAGGCAGCCCGGTGATGAGGAGAGGGGCTGTGAGGGCAGGGGGAGGCTGAGACTGGAAGCTGAGGAAGTGAGCAGCCTTGCAAGGCCTCGCAAGGGCCCAGGGCTTTATCCTGAGGACGTGGGGCCCCTGGAGAGCTCAGAGTGGCATCATTTGAGCTGAGTCTCTCGGGGTGGGGTGGAGAAGGGGCCAGGTGAGCAGGGGCACTAGGGGCAGGAATGTGGTTGTTCAGGCCTGCGAGGATGGAGGACGAGAGAGGCTTGAGATCTGGACCTGCTCCATCCTGTTGCCTGCGGTGCCCTGCACGCAGCAGCTTCCACTGACACCTTCTGAAACGAACTGCTTTCGAGAGGCATTAGCAGGCTGGACGTGGGGGCGGGGGGGTGGAGGCACCGCGAGCCACAGGTGGGAAGGCGTCCTGACTCTGGGGTTGGGGACAGACATGGAGAGCTCATCTGAGAGGCCACACCGTGCAGAGAGAGGTCCACCTGGAGGAGCTGCTTGTGTCCCCTGGGCCTCACTGCAAGCCAGCGAGATGAGCAGTGCTCCAAGGGATTGTTGTGAGGATTGATGCAAGCAGGCAGTGGGCGCTGGGCAGGGGGCGGCACTCAGTGGGGATCTGCTGCTCTGATCCTGAGACTCACGTGACCTGGCATCCCAGCCGGCTGGCGCTACAGGAACAGGATGCTCCAGAGTGGTGGCTCACAGCAGCCAGTGGTCCTCAGAATTCTTTTTTTTAAAGTGTTTATTTTATTTCTATCTACTTGAAATGCAGAGAGAGAGAGAGAAAGAGAGACAGAGATACCGTCAATCCACTGGTTGGTTCACTCCCCAAATGCCCACAATAGCTAGCAGTGCTGAGCCAGGCTGAAGCCGGGAGCCAGGAACTCCATCCAGGTGTCCCTTGTAGGTGGCAGAAACCCAAGCACTTGAGCCATCATCCACTGCTTCCTGGGATTGCGTCAGCAGGAAGCTGCATTGGAGGCAGAGTAGTTGGAACTGGAACCAGGAGCTACAGTAAGGCATGAGGGCGTCCCAAGTGGTGGTTTAACCCACTGCCCCACAATGCCCACCCCATTCTTATATGCTGCAAATTCAAGAGTGAGGTGCTGCCCGCTCTGTTCCCAGGGAAGCCCTCTTCCTGGCTGTAGGTGGCCACCTCTCACCGCATCCTCACATGGCAGCGTCTCTTCTTATGAAAGTACTGTCGCCAACACAAGGCCCCACACTGAAGACTTCATCCAACCCTGATCATATGTCTCCAAATGCCGTGACACTGGAGGCTTGGTCCTCACTGATGGGTTCTGGGAGAGGCACACAGACGATACTCAGTGTCACTGTCATCCTCACCTTCTCTCCTTCCCATCTGGCCAAGAGCCTGGGCTTTGCGACTCTGGCTTTGATCCTGGTTCTGATGCTGAGTAATGGAGTGACATTTTTTAAAAAAAATTGACTTTTTTTTATTTGAAAGGCAGAGTGATACACACATGAAAACACACACACACACACACACAGATCTTTTATCTGCTGGTTCACTCTCTAAATGACCCAGTGGCCAAGGCTGGGCCAGGGGGAAGTCAGGAGCCTGCAATTCCATCCTTGGATGGCGGGGCCTGAGTACTTGGGTGGCCCTCCGCTGCTTTCCCAAGCACTTTGGCAGAAGACGGATCAGAAGTGGAGCAGCTGGGATATGAACAGGCACTCTGATATGGGATATGGGCATCCCCAGTGGTGGCTTAACCCACTCTGCCACAATGCCAGCCCTGACTGGGTGAGCTTGCTTGGAGCAGAAAACCTTTAGGGGTCAGTATCCTCTTGTGTAGAATGGGCCCTTGTAGGGCGATTGTGAGGGTGAAACGAAATGGCTTATGAAAAAAGCCAGGCGCATAGTAGGCATCGTTAAAGCTACCGTGCAGGCTCAGGGCTGTTGGCCCCATCAGGTCTCCGGAATCTCGCGCCCTGTGTTCCCACCTCCCGCCAGGCGGGGGCAGTCGCCACTTGCTTATTCCTCGCGGGCTCAGAGCGGGCGTCCCTCAGAAGTGGCCGACTCGCCACCAGGGGGCTTTGTCACCGCCCTCGAAAATGTACCCGGGCGCGGATGCAAGGCAGATCGTAATTTGGGAAAGGAGGGATCCTCGCGCCGATCTCGCCAGGTCCCCTCTGCCTGGGGCTCTCGGAGCCCGGGCTCCAGACTCCCAGAGCTCAAGGCCCGAGGCCCCGGCGAGCCGCCTCGCGTCCTGCACCCCGCGCCGCCCGCCCTGCCCATTCATCCGCCTTCTGCTCTGGGAGCCCCCGCGGACGCCGCAGGTGCCGCGGGTGATTCAGCGGCTGCCTCCGGAAGGCAGTTTTCACTCATTCACAATTTACGCGATTTTACCCGGAGCGCTCGAGGAATGCTCTTACCCTGCAGAGCTGGATGATGCCAGCCCGAGGGAGGAGGCAGGCGAGAGTGGGTGAGTCACGTGCTTAGAGGGGGGGCTAAGGGCCCTTCAAGACCAGGGCCTGAGTGCCTTCCCCAAGGTCACACAGCTAGGGAGGAGCGAGCTGGACTTGAACCCAGGCTGCCGGGCTCCAGGGAAGGCAGACAGCTCCCTGCCACCCCGGAGCCAGCGGGGCACTGACAGGTAGCCTTTGTGCAGTGTCCCTGGGCAGCGGCTCTCCGTAGGGAGAGCTCCAGAGAGAATAGCTCCTTTTTTCCCCCAAAACTTACACTTTCCTCCCAAATTCCTGTTTCTGTCTCAGCTTGGGCATCATAAAACTGCCCCCCACCCCCCGTTGTCTTTCTGTGACTATTGCACAGGTGTTGGGTCGTCTTGGGGTCTTTTTCCCATGATAGGCGCCCGGGACAGAGCCCAGGTGCTGGCGTCCCACAGGCCTGGGCTTGCTTCTCGCTGCGTTGGGAGTGAGCTGTGTGACCTTGGACCAGTTAACGGGCCCTCCCTGAGTGTCATCTTCCTGCGGGGAGCAGGGATGTTAGAGCGTCCTTCTCACAAAATTCTTCGGAAAGTTTTTAAAATGTACCTTTCGTTATGGAAATTTTCAGAGGCAAATAAGAACACGGAGAACAGTACAATTTGGAGTCCCGTGCACTCATCTGCGGCTGGGTCTTCATCTCGAGCTGCTTGTGCCGGCAGTTCATTCGCTCACACGGCCGTCTTCACCCTGGGTTATGGGGAAGCCGATCCCCTCACCACGTCACCTGATTTGTGAGTGTTACTGTACGTATCCCTAAGCAACTAGCATTTTCTCTCCTCTCCCTCTCTCTCTCTTTTAAGGATTTTATTTGAGAAGCAGAGTCACAGACACAGAGAGGCAGAGAGAGAGAGAGAAAGGTCTTATCCGCTGGTTCACTCCCCGAATGGCTGCAATGGCCAGTGCTGCGCCGATCCAAAGCCAGGAGCCAGGAGCTTCTTCCGGGTCTCCCATGTGGGTGCAGGGGCCCAAGGACTTGGGCCATCTTCTACTGCTTTCCCAGGCCATAGCAGAGAGCTGGATTGGAAGTACAGCAACCAGGACTTGAACTGGTGCCCACATGGGATGCCGGCGCCACAGGCAGAGTATCAACCCACTGTGCCACAGTGCCAGCCCCTAGTGTTCTCTTTTAAACTTCAATTTGGGCAGGCTTGTGATGCCTGTCCTCTGTGGTGAGGAATGTTAAATGAGATTTCTGGGTGTGGGGGTGGGCTTTGGCACAGCAGTTAAGATGCTCCTGGGGGTGCCCGCATCCCATATTGAAGTGCCTGAGTTCAACTCCCAGCTCCGCTCCCATTTCCAGCTGCCTGCTAATGCACACCCTGGGAGGCAGCAGGTGATGGTTCAAGGCAAAGAAGGGGGGCACAGAGGGGCTAAGGGTTTTCCCAGGTCACACCGCAGCAAGCAGTCGGGCTGGAGTACGGTGCTAAAGCCCGTGTGACCCCACAGCCCCGCCTTTCCTGTCCAGTGCTGTTGTCTTTGGATTCTCTGTTTAGATGATGGGCCCTTCAAGGTAAGGGGCCCACCTTGGAGTTCTGTGTCTCCACAGTCCCCAGCTGTTTGATGATCATCAGAGTGATAGACTCTCCTGGATTGTCTGGGTCATGGTGCACCTACAAGGCTTGTCATCATCACATCAGCACCTGTCGTCATATCACCAGCATCACCATCATATCATCACCATCACCTTCACCATCATCTCACCATCATCTCACCATCATCATATAACCATCATCATCACCATCATCTCATCGTCACCATCATCACCATCAATCACCACCATCATTGGTTTGACCCTTCAGCAGGTGTTTGTTGAATTCTGTACATAGGACTGAATGCAGACCCTGTGGGCTATAAAAGACCTGGTTTCTGCCCCAAGTCTGCCAGGGGTCGGCTCAGACTCAAGCGCAACAGTGAGGGAGAATGCAGGGCACCCTGCTGCGGAGGAGGGGGATTTCTCACGTGTCTGGGGGCCTCAGAGTCCATAGGGAGACAAGGCTGTGGGTGTGGCTGCGTCATGTCAGGAGCAGGGCTGGGATCTGGGGATTCAGCAGTAAACAGACGCGGGCGGGGAGATGCGCACACGGCCACCCGGGTTGACACGTAGGCAATAGCAAATGAGGAACTCCGCAAGGTGCTACCAAACGCCAGAGAGCTGTAAATGGGGGGGGGGTAACAAGGGGTGCAGGGCCCTGCTTTGGGTGGGGCAGCAGGGGCCCCGGTCTTTGAGAAGCCAACAGCTGAGCTATGACCCGAACCCACATCCTGCTCATGGCTCCTTCACCTCCTGGATAAAGGGTGGTCCCTTTAGGTGACTGCCCAGGCTCCCGTGACCCGGTCCTGCTGACTCCTCCAGCTCACTTCTGACCCTGACCCTGCCGCCCAGTCTCAGACGTCTCGTGCACCGGGAGCCAAGGCGCCCTGTTCTTCCAGCCCTCCGGGCCTCCGCCTCCTGTCTGGAGTGCTTTCTCTCTCTGGCTGACCTGGTGAACTCCTAATCATTCATCAAGGTCCAACTTGAAGGCAGTTCTTCTGGGAGTCTGTCCCGATTTCCCAATGCTTGGCAAGGCGCCTTTTATATTGGTGTACTCTTGGAGGTATTTTTGCACTCAACCAAAAGTAGTGAAAGCCATGAGAAATTTCTCCTTTCATTTTACAAGAAGTCTGGAGGCTGGGCAGTTCTCGGATTCATTGGTTCAGGCACAACCAAGTCTTCCCTTGCCATCTCAGTTGTCAGGGATGATTCCCCTCATGGTTACAAAAGGGTTGCCAGAGCTCCAGGCACAGCTGCCAATGACAGCCAGAGAAGAAGTTGTAATCTTTCCTGCCAGTCCCTTCAGAGCAAGCTAGAACAGCCCTGCTCAGTTGCTTCTGGGTTCCTGATCTTAGGAACTGCTGAGCCAATAGGCACCTGTTGTCATAGGCTGCTAAGTTTGGGATGATATTCTTTCCTTTCTTTTTTTAACATTTATTTGAAAGGCAAAGTTACAGACAGGGAGGAAAGAGAGCAAGGTTGAAGATGTCTTCCATCTGCTTGTTCACTTCCCAAATGGCCACAATGGCCGAAGACATGAGCCTGGAACTCCATCCAGGTCTCAGACATGGGTGGCAGGGGCCCAAGCACCTGGGCCATCTCTGACTTCTTGTCCTCATTGGTAGGGAGCTGGATCGGAAGTGCAACAGTCAGTACTTGAACCAGTGTTCACATATAGATGCCGGCATCCCAGGCTGCGGCTTAGCCGGCTGCCCGGCAGCACCAGCCCTCCTTTGGGGTAATTTTTATGTGGCAGTGGCTGACTTAGCACAGCTGGCAAGCAGCAGTGGCTGCCATGGTGCACCCCCACGGCCCCAGAATCGCTGTCAGAGCATCATGTCCTTGTCTGTTCCCTCTACAGGCTTGCGAGGGCCTTGGTTTTCCACTTGCTTAAGCACAGGGGTCTCAAGCGTGTGAGCATGCACACGCGTGCATGTGTGTTTATGTATGCTTGCGATGTGTGTGCACGTGTGCATGTGTGTGTGTGTTCACCGATCTGCTGGGCTCTCCCCAGCCTCCAGAGAGCGTCTTATTGCCTCAGTATTTCCAGAGTGCGGCACAGGGCTCGGCACGGAGAATTGGGAAGGGATCCATGCAGTGAACAGGATGCCGGGGCGGGGAAGGATCCATGGTTGCCATGGCAACTGCAGCCTGGAGCGCTCAGAACAGCCCAGGCCACTTAGGGCTGGGAGGTTTCGCCGTGGTTCTAGAAATGACTTGGGGAGGGGGGAGCAGTTTCTGCTCTGGCAGCCTCAGAAAGAGGGGGCAGAAGCATGAGGGCCAGTGGGGGAGGTGGGCGGTGCCAGGGCTGCCCAGTGCCCTCCTGGGTACAAAGCCGCCCCCACTTCTAGGTCATAAGCCGCAACTCCTCCAAGTCTGCCTTTTGTTTGCTGAAGACCTACTATGTGCCTGTCTCTTGGCTAAGCATTTTCTGCCCAGCTCTGGTCAGTAAACCCCGGAAGCGCAGGAGCTGCATCTTTCTTGTCAAGGGCAATGCTGGACACGTGGGAGGGGCAGGGTGCATATTTTGTGGGTGAGTGAATGAATGAATGAATAAGATGAGTGATGCACTCAGTCCTCACATCAAATGCAAAAGGAGGTCAGCCACGGGAAGAATTAGACAAAGGGAGGGCGCGCAGGATGGGAAAAAGGTTCCAGGCACAGGAAGGAGTATATACAAAGGTCCTGGGGTGAGACAAAGCTTGCCATGGGAGCCCGTGCCTCCCTGGCTCCATAGATAGCTTTCATTATACCGCAGCTCTCTAGGGTAAGTCGTCTTATCACCACCACCCTCAGTGTGAGAAGTTCTTCCTGTTCCTTCTAAAGGACTGTGGAATACAGTGGCTTGAGTGCAGGCTGCCCAGGCTGGGCTTTGCCATGAAACAGCTGTTTGCCAGAGGTATTTGCCTCAGTCTCCTCACCTGACAAATGGGGATGACAGAGCCTCCCTCAAGTTCTGGTTTGAATGTGTCTGCTAAAAGTTCTTGTGTTGCAGACTTTCCGCCCAGACCCATGTGTTAGTGGTAGTAGCAGCGGGGGTTTTGGATGGGGCCCCGATGGTGGCGTTCGTGGGTGTAAGGAGAGGAAGAGGGACCCAGCGAGCAGCTGGCTCTGTCTCACTATGGGATGCTCTCTGTGATGCAGCTGGAAGCCCTCATCAGGTGCCAGCCCTGAAATCCAGGGTTCCCACACTCTGGATCTGTGAGCCACATGCACCTGTAGCCCTTATAAATGACCCAGTCTTGGGAATCTTGTTCTACAGCCGAGAACAGATCGGGCCGCGGGGTCTGCAGTCGCTAAATGGACTCGGTGGGGTCAAGTGCTGGGAATGCGGGGAGCACAGGTGTCCAGGGGCACAGCCAGCCTGCGGGCAGTGAGGACAACGGCGTGGGCGCAGCAGTTCCTCCCCTGGGAGCCCTCTCTTCTGCCCAGCCCCCGCTGGTCCACGCTGACGGGGAAGGATTTGTCCCTGGCAGGTTCCAGCAGTGAGTGACGGTCTGCTCCACTTCCAGACAAAGCCAAGCGTGGCTGCTTCAGCGGAGCGCGGAGACAAAGCGCTATTTTAAGGCCTCTGCGGAGCACTGAGGAAGCCGAGGCTGTTCCGGGCCACAAGTCTGGGAAGTCGGGCAGCCTGTGGGGCTGGACGGGAGCACGGGGGCCCCTAGTGGACCCACAGAGGGACCAGGGAAGCCGGGGTCAGGGAGGCAGTCCGGGATCCCCTGCATGGGCCTCTGTAGGGGGCGAGGGAATGTGTAGGAGCCCATTCAGCCCAGGCTCCTGGTACAGGTGACAAAGCAGGCGGGGAGGCGGCGGGGGCGGAGCCATCGCAAACATTTTCTGTTTCCGCTTGTTTCCAGGAATCACTGGATCAGGTGGTTAAGTGAGGTATGGCCCATCCATGCTGTGGTCTCCGTAGAGTTTCGAAAGGACACAAAAGAACTGTGGGACCAACTTGGCTGTTCTAAGTCTTGTTGAGAGAAAACAAAGTTGCTGACGAATGTGCACAGATCGTACTTGTTAAAAAACAAAAGCAAGCCAAGATTTCCTATTTCAGTGAGTAGATCAAGGCCTGGAGAAAGTTCTGGAAGGATGTTTGGCAATTAGAGCTGGAGAGTCACCTTCCAGCGGGGCTGGGAGAGGGACAGCATAGGCAGGGGGACCCCAACTTTATCAGGACTGTTTGAATTGATAAGAGAATCTCCATGCGTTACTGATGTCATTAAAACAGAGCACGTCACATTTTAAAAAAGAATCACTGTTAAAAGGCTGGTTTGCCTGTGGGCTTAGATTTGTCCCGAAAGCCTTCATCTCCTGGGTCTCACACTCCAGGAAAGCCTGGCCTCTCCTCTCGGCAGCCCCCCACCGCCCCCAGCCCGCACCGTGCACTGGATTTGTCAAGTACGGAAAAAAGATGGAAATGTGGCTGACAAGACGCCCACCCAGCTCCCTTTGTCTCAGGAAATCCCCCAGGCCTGGGGGCAAGGCCTGTGGGGGGCACACAGGTGGTCAGGAGCAGCGGGGGCCCTGTGCTTCTGTAGAGTTTGCACCTGTCTGTCCGCTTCTTCTGTCCCCTGCTCTCCACCTTGAGCACAGCCCTTCTCGCGAGCACGCACAGCGTCACTGTTTCGCGGTGATAATGGATTTGCTATTTTTTTCAGAATCAATTTATAGGAGCATTCTCCTGGGGGACGAGGAAGAAAAGGGGGACCCTGCAAGTGGGGCCACAGTCCATTGAACAGCCCCACCCCATCCCCAAAGGCAGGTGCAGTCAGCGGAGGAAGAACCTTACTGACCCCGAGGCATTTGCAGTCCTCCCTGGTATCTGTCATCCGAAGGGAGTTGGTGCCTCCACCCCACCCCACCCCACCCAGATGGTGCTTATTTATTTGAAAGGCAGAGTGACACAGAGACGGAGGGAGGGAGGTGGGGTGCACGTTAGCAAGGAGCTGGATCAGAAAGCAGAGCAGCCAGGACTGGAGCAGGTGCTCAGCTATGGGTTGCTGGCATGGTGGTGGCGGTTTAACCTGCTATAGCACAATGCTGACCCCAGGTCCTCTGGTGTCTTACATAAGATGATTTGGGATCCGCATATAACCTACACGGTTGCTCCTGTCTGCAGCCACGCCCTGCATAGCGGCATGTGGTCAGTGAGGGACGCATGGAGAGTGATGGGTCTGTGAGTGGCTGTGTTTGGGCAAGTGCGCCTCATCGTGTTCACACAATGGCAAAGCCACCTAGGGACACATTGGTCACCCATATCAAGGCAGGCAGGACTGGACTTTCAGTGGTCTCCAGATGAGTGACAGTGTGGATGCCGTGTGAGTATCTGTTACGCTGTATTGTTTAGGGAATGACGATAAGAAAAATAAGTCTATATGTTCTGCAGAACTGCAACATTTTGGGAATATTTTTGATCTGCAGTGGGTTGTATCCATGGATACGGACCAACTGTAAATGGAATTGTGTGTACTCCTAAACAGTATCGTCTTGTTGAGCTGCAGGCTGCTGTACCATGGGTGACCGCAGTGTGATGGGGCTGAGCCCAGCAACCCCCGGGGGTGGCTGCCTTCACGAGGGCCTCGCTCTGACTGCCTGGCTTCCTGTCCGGGCACCAACACTTGACCAGCACTGGTCTGGTGTGGTTGCACATCAGACGCCCCAATACTGCCTCTGTTCCTATGGGTGCCTCAAAGTGGGTGGGGGCAGCCCAGGAGGTTCGAGCCTTGTGGGGTGGAGAGAGACAAGAGAGAAGAGGGGAACAGAGTGGAGGGGAGAGGGGATGACTGGGACTCCTGAGTGTCCTGGGGAAGAAGTGGCAAGTGCTGACACAGGGGTCCTTGGTGGAGTGGCCTCTTCAGGGGCTCCCCAAGCAGGAGGCCTGTGGATGTCCCAGCTATGATGAGAAGCTGTGTCTGGTGGTAGCTTCTGGGAAGGGGAGACACCACCTTTCAATAGGAAGGGGCGGGGCCCGCGCTGTGGCGCAGCAGATTAATGCCCTGGCCTGAAGCACCGGCATCCCAAATGGGGGCCGGTTCTAGTCCCGGCTGCTCCTTTTCCAGTCCAACTCTCTGCTATGGCCTGGGAAAGCAGTGGAAGATGGTCCAAGTCCTTGGGCCCCTGCACCTGCGTGGGAGACCTGGAAGAAGCTTCTGGATCCTGGCTTCGGATCGGCGCAGCTCTGGCCATTGCAACCATCTGGGGAGTGAACCATCAGACGGAAGACCTCTCTCTCTCTCTGCCTTTCCTCTCTCTGTGTAACTCTGACTTTCAAATAATAAATAAATAAATCTTTAAAAAATAAATAAGGAGGGGCCTCTTGGCCAAAGGAAATAGGAAACCCACTTATCTTCCCTCTCTGTGTCCTGTGAACATGACAGAAGGCCGCTGTTGTTTGCGACTAAGCTCCTACACTGGGTGCAACAGATCAGACCAAAAACCAAAATGGAGTGACTCAGGCTAAAGATGCATGTCACCAAGCACCTTCTGAAAAATTGGGAGAGAGAGAAAAGCCAGATTTGCCAAATGGGCCAGTTTCAAGGGCGCCACGGTGGGGTTCCCTCCACCAGCCCTTACACAGAAGGGTAACTGGAAGTGAGCTGGTGCTGGTGCTAACCGGACACCTGTTTCCCTACTGTCCTGTAGCGCTGTCCCCACCCTACAAGGAAAGCCAGTTTGAAAGGACCCCGCCCCTTTTGCTCTTTGCTTCTACTTTCTTTTCTTTTATATTTATTTATTTATTTATTTTGACAGGCAGAGTGGACAGTGAGAGAGAGAGATACAGAGAGAAGGGTCTTCCTTTGCCGTTGGTTCACCCTCCAATGGCTGCCGCCGGCGCGCTGCGGCCGGTGCACCGCGCTGATCCGAAGCCAGGAGCCAGGTACTTATCCTGGTCTCCCGTGGGGTGCAGGGCCCAAGGACTTGGGCCATCCTCCACTGCACTCCCTGGCCACAGCAGAGAGCTGGCCTGGAAGAGGGGCAACCGGGACAGAATCCGGCGCCCCAACCGGGACTAGAACCCGGTGTGCCAGCGCCGCAAGGCGGAGGATTAGCCTAGTGAGCCGTGGCGCTGGCCTCTACTTTCTTTTCAAAGCCCTTCTCTCTAAAACCAATCTCTTCTGCACAGCCCCTCAGAAAGTTACTCTGTTTTATGGAATGAAGAGTTGCCTGATTCTAGAATAAAAACTAGGCCGATGAAGCTCTTTGAATTAAGGTGCTGTGATTTTGCCCTTGGATGTGTAGAATTCGTGATCAGATCATGTGGCCACATCCCGCCTTGCATTCACGGGCTAGCCACTCCTGGAATTCCCTAGTCCTCATAACAGCACCAAGCCCTGCCCCAGGCACATGGTGAGCAGCTCCCTCTCAGCCAGCTCCAGGTCGTCTGCACCTTAAACCATGGCCCTCCCATGTCAGACTTGGTGCTGAGCTCTGGAATAACCTTGGACTTGATCCCTGCTGCCTGATCGTCTGCTGTGTGCCAGCACCAGTTAGGATTCTTCACTTCCAAGCGACAGATGACAGCTCGTGTAACTGAGCAGTGTGAAAGTGGCTTCATCCACGACCTGGTTTCCTCCGTCTGCTCTAGGGGTCGGCTCCTTTGGCGAGGCCTCTGCAGTAGGGTGGCCCTTCCCTCTGTGGTATCTCCTGTCTGCTTGTTCACTTCTCAGATGCCTGAAACAGGTGAGGATGGGCCAAGCCGACGCCAGGAGCCTGGAACTCAGTCTGGGTCTCCCACTTAGATGGCAGAGACCCAAGTACTTGGGCCATCACCTGCTGCCTCCCAGGGTGCATTAGCAGGGAGCTGGAATTGGGAGTGAGGCTGGAATTCAAACCCAGACACTGTGGTATGAGCAGGTGTCCCAAGTGACATCTTAACCACTTGCTGTACCAACTGCCTGTCTTGGCTGTGTGTGCTCGAAGTGGCCAGGCTGGTCCCAGATGAACCCTGGAGTGGAGTCCCTCAGCTTCCCTGACCACTGCATGGCCTAAGAGCTGGGGAGAAGGGTGGGCAGCAAGCGCTGTACCCTTGAGGCTACAGGAGCATGGGCTTGCGCTCTGCGCCGTGACATAGGAAGAGGAAGTGGATCTCAGTAGAACGGAGGCAGGGATGGAGGCTCCAGCAGCCGCTGACTCTAGCTGGGCTGCACACTCTGTAGGAAGAGATGCAACATCCGCAGTGCTTTAAAAGCCACCCGGCGGGGATCGTAGCTTCTAGAACTCGGGTTCCCCGAGAGACGACCGGGTCCACTGTGTTTTCAATGGGGAAACAGGAAAGCCGTGGCTTGCCCTGATCAAGGAGGAGCTCAGTGGTGGATTTCCCATTCCTAGGGGAGTGCCCAGCCCGGGGACTGGCCATTTGGGTATATGATTGATGGCACCAAGGTCACGGCCATGGGGAGGGTGACTAAATCTGCTGGGTGGAGGTGTGTGGAGTGTGTGCCTGAGGATTACCCCGCTACGGCTCTCCTACGTCCCGGTGAGCCAGTGGAGGAGGGGGGAGGGGGAGGGGCACACTGAGCCTCCTGTAGTGGGATGTGCTCTTGGCCTTGGCCTGAGGGGGTGAGCAATCCCAGACACTCTCCCTCAATCCCTGGGCTTGTCTCTTTGGTGTTACAGATTGAACTTGGACACAGGACTGGACAGACCTGCCACTTGCTAGCTGTGTGATCTTGGGCAAGTTACCTCACCTCTCTGTTACCTTCTGGGCTGTGTGAAAAGAGAGCTTACCCTGCCTGTCTAGGGGGCTGTGAGGGAGGAATGGGAGGATGAGTGAAGTGTGCCTGGCCCGGTGCCTGGCCCCGATCGGCTCCTGGTGGAGAGACAGCCCAATACCAGACTCGTGGCTGCTCTCAGGACGGCTCCAGGTCTCAGTCTTAGGCCTGCGTCTAAGAGTTCCTGGGGGGGTGGGGTGGAGATGGATTAGGCCTGTGTCTACACCTGAGCTGGAGTTGGCTCCTGGACTGATTCGGGCCAGCCTGGTGTGTGCCGTTCCCTCCACCCTTTGCCCGCTGGCCGCCTACACTCTTGGGAGATCTCCACTTTGCTCTCTATCCAGGACCCTCCTCTGGGCTCCAAGGCCAGGCCCCCAGGGCCACTGGCTGAGATCCACGTGCATGGAGGCACGTGACTTGTCTGCAGAGAGGGAGGGCGCGTCCGGGAACAAAGCAGACAAAGGCTCTTTTCCCTCCCAGAGGTGATGAGCCACTCTGGAAGGGACCGGCACATCACCAGTTATTCTCCGGCTGAAGGAGCCCAGCTGGGGGGGAGTCAGTGTGGGATAAGCAGCAGAGGTGCCTCACCCTCACCCCATGGCACCTCCCTGGCTGGCTCCCTTCCTGAAACCGGGACAGGCTAGGCTACAGCGGTGTGAGGTGGCATGTGTTGCCCCCTTGCTAGGGGATTCGGCCTGGCAGGTCTGCACGGCCCCAGGCTCTCCACAACAGTCAGTCAGGTATACCACGCTGGTAGCCCCACTGTGTGGATGAGATCGCCAGGGGCTGGGAGGAGTGATTTTCCTGAGGTCATGGTGCTAAGAAGCTCCAGGGAGTCAGTGTTGGCTGGGCAGCTGTTACGTGCTGGGCACTGCTCTGGGTACTGGGGGCACGGCAGTGCGTGGAGCAGAGGCTCTGCCCTCTCGGGCCTTAGGTCTTATTTGGGAGGTGATAGACAATGAATTAGCAAATAGATAAAGCCAGCATGAAATAATTTTTAGTGTTGTGAAGAAAAACAAAGAGGTGAGGAGCAGAGACTAGGAAAAGATGGAATGGCGTGCAGGTCAGGGTGCCGTGTGAGGTGCAGTGACCAGGGCGGCCTCTCTGGGGAGGTGAGATTTGAGCTGAGGCTGGATGACCCCTGCAGTGGTCCAGAAAGAGCATCCCTGGAGGGGAGAAGAGGAGCGCAAAGGTCCTGAGGCTGTGGGGGCGGGGGAGGCGGTACTTGGTGTGTGCTGAGCGCTGTATGGAGGCTGCTGTGGGATCAGAGGTGTGGAGTGCTAGGCGCTGCGGCTAGAGGGGTGCTAGGGGCCAGAACACGGCGGGCCTTGGGGGACAGGGAAGGCAAGATCCTTATGGAGGAATGGGAGGGGCTGCTGTCCCTGCAGGGGCAGACCTTGTCCATGCATGCTAAGGTTTGCTCCCATGCCTTTCCTTTGGAGAGCCAAGGAGGAAGCAGGGCCCCCTGGGTGCAGAGGAAAAGCTTTTGCAGTTCACAATCCGCCTCCACACACCCGCCGAGCCCTCCCGCCCGCTCAACACGGCTGCCCTGCCCCAGGCCTGGGAAATCCGCCCTGGATCTCAGTGTTCACCCTGCGAGGCCAGCAGTCCTGTCATCCCGATGGCACGGGGAGAAAGCGGGGGCTCAGCCAGGGTCAGCGCCCTGCGGGTCGTGCGGTGGAAGTGGCACCCATCACGGGAAAAGACGCTCTTAACCCCAGGGCGGCTCCTGGAGGACCGAGTGCGTGCTCTGTGGGGGCTGAGGGGCACTTGATCCCTGGCCGCCCCCTCGCTTCCCCCAGGGAGCCCAGACGGCCTGTGCTGCCATCAGCCCTATCAGTGGCTGATAGGGACCCTGAGCCCTGCAGGCCCGGGGGGTTTCTGGTGAGAAATTCCAGCGCTCGCCTGCTTGACCCGGTGCTGGCAGGGCAGCGTGGGAACGCAGCAGGGACTGCTGCCCTGTGAGCGGGAGTCTGGAGCCACCGAAGAGCGTGTGTCCGAAGTCTCGCGATGTTTTCTTATCCTTTGCCCACCAGTGGTTCTGCTTCTTGGCGTTGGGCCAGGGGACGTCTCAGACGGCTGCCTGGAGCCCGCTCTGAGCAGTGACAGCTCACCGGGGAGGCGTGGACGCAGACAGCCTGGGGAGAAGGCGCCTCCGGAAACCCAGGCCTGCAAAGTCAGTTTTTCCCACTGCAGCTGGTGGGTTGTCCCCTGGGGAGGGTACAAGGGGCTTGTCCTGATCCAGGGGCTTCGTTTGCTGCTGGGGCTCTCTGGAGAATGGGCAGCTAGTGACTCAGAGAGGGAGGGTGGCCTGTGACCCCCCCCCCCATTGCCCCATTCCAGACAGGATTTGGGATGCAATGACTTCATGATACTTTGTGAGGACTCTTTAGCTTATTTTGGTTTTGTTTGTTTGTTTTAAAAGTTTCATTTATTTGAAAGGTAGAATGACAGAGAGAGAGAGGGAGAGAGATCCTTCAGCTGCTGGTTCACTCCCCAAATGCCTGCAACAGCCAGGGCCGGGCTGGGCTGAAGCCAAGAACCAGGAACTCCACCGGATCTCTCACATGGGTGGCAGGGGCCCAAGCACTTGGGCCATCATAATCTGCTGCCTGCCCAGGGAGCTGGCTTGGAAATGGAGCAGACTGGACTCGAATTGGCGCTCTGATATGGGATGCTTGTGCTGCAAGCGATGGCTTAACCTGCTGGGCCGCAACACCAGCCCCGACTGCATTTATTTTGAAAAAAATTTAAGCACAAAAAATTTGTTGTAGGAAATGTGGAAATTAGCACAAAATGTAAGGGCGACATCAAGAATGGCTGAGGCTTGCACCTCGCAGACACCCCAGTACAGCTCCCAGGCATGTGACCCCACGCTGGGCACAAGGGGAGTTGCAGGAGGGCTAGGCTAGGTCCTGGCCTCCCGAATCTGGGATGAAGTCAGTGTGGGAGAAGCAGGGCGGGACAGTGGCTCCTGCGTGCAAGCAGCGAAGTCCCACTGTCCGGCAGCAGCACTGTGGAAGGTAGTGGGAGAATACGGGGTGGCTCTG